CTAAAATATAATTTTACTTCATAAACCATTAACATATATTGTCTTCAAACAATTGAGTTTGAATATATGTTTAAGGTTTGAAGTGTAATTCGTTTTTTGTCATAAATTTATAATTGATGTTAAAAATCCAAGGGTGTCATAAATCATGCTTATCTTGCAAAAAATGAATGAAGACCATTCAGTCTGTCCTTTCTTAGACAAATATGTATGTGGGGCTCTTCCAGTGGCTGGCTCTTGGGCTGCTCCTGTGGTGCTCCTTGTGGTGCATATTCTGAGTGAAGGCCATCTTCAAATTCACTTTCAGAATCAGAATACCTTATATATATATATAGGAAGCACTCTGACAGCTAAATCTTTTGGTCATACTGAGGGTGGAAATGTGATGTAGAGGTATTTATCTCTTTTGTCCCACCCCCTTGATGTGCAGGTGCGAGGCATATAGTGACACATGTTCACACAGTATTCATAGCCTTCTAGTTTTTAATGGAGGTACCATTTCAGCAAATTAGACCTTTGAAAGAAAGTAATTTTAAATACTGTGAGATGGTTTTGGGTGAGGCCAAATCTATGTGTGTGGCACAACCCATGAAAATTCTATTTAGTAAATGTCATTAATGGTGTTTAACGTGAGTGCAAATGGTAATGGATTCCCTAAATTAGTTTAGTCAGGATGGTATTCTTGGCACTGTGTCACTGCAAGTTTCTGTTGACCCAGCCTGATACACCTCAGAATACCCCTCAGATACTGTTTGATGTCCAGGGTTTGCTTGCTCAGTGTGTCACTAGTCTTAATGATGAGAAAACTGAGAACAGACTGCTCTCCAAATAAAGCACAATAGATGGCAGCTCAGAGGTTTTCGTGTCCCATCCCCATCAGCCCTGTCCTCAGCCATTGTCAGAAGCCAGCCGATCGAGCATGGCGCGCAGTGGCCCCACCGACACAGATGTTGACCAAGCTCATTAAGTAAATGGGCCTATAATTGATTTCAGTCAATACCCTATCCTCAGCGAGGGTGTGCATCTACCGATCGGAAGCAGGCTCCAGGGGACCGGGGCTAACAGCTTGAATAAATGCAGTGTGTGGGGTTTCAGATAATGCCAGTCTTTGCAAATGCTTATGGGGATTAGTTTGACTTGAGTTTAGCTATTTAGGGAGCTAATGTTGATTCCCAGCAGAGGGTTACCTTCCAGATAAAAACAATTGATTAGATGTAGAAGGTTGCAGCGGCTGCTGTTCTTATATCTACGAGGTTACTCTGTATGTCTGCTGGTATCTCTGTCCCTATATCTCCATGTACAGCATACAGCATACATTTCTTCCAAGTTAGTGTCATCTGTGGAAGAATGGCACTACATACAAGTGTGTGAACAGACATACAATCTTTAAAATATAGTGACAATTGACAGTAACTGTTACAATGTATTTGTTGCATATGCATATGTAACTATTCCTTACTTTGAGTGTGCAAACACAGCAAGGTTTTTCCATCAAAATGTAAAGACTGATATCAATAGGTGTAGGTGTATGTTGGTAAGTACTAATAATAAGTAACGCCCCTTTTATTTCCTCTGTCCTGCTCTGCTCCTTTTGCTCTCCAGCAGAGCTCCTTAGAGCACCAGTGCATGGTTAATTAAGTCACATTATCAGCTGGCCTAATTGGCCATGATACTGTCGAGCTGAGGCAAACATCCTCTTGTAAAATTCCCTAGTTTGTACCTTTACTCAGAGGAGAAAGTGAGCAAGAAAAACCACTCAGTGGTTACAAAAGGCTACAGTGGCCATTTTTTTACCCACCTCAGTGCTGGCTGGATAGCATACATTAAATTCAGGTGGTCCAGAAGTGACGCACTCTCAGGAACTGGTAGGCAGGTGTCATAACCCGGCTCCTAGACAATGACAAATACGGAGGAGGACACAATAGATGGCAAGAAATTTTTGAATTTATTATAGTAACTTAAACAACTTAGGTAATAAATACAAATGTGGAGTGTGTCAGTCAGTAACATCAGTAGTGTAAATGTGGATGTGTGAGCAATATGAAGTGTAAATGATGTCAAGTGAAAACAAAGCAGAAATCAAACAAAAGCTGAGAAAGTGCTGCTGCTGGCGGGGATGCAGCCAAATGAGAGAGACCAGAGCAAAGCTGGGACAGGGTTTTTATCCTTTAGGAATACCTGGACACACAGGAAAATTAGATTTTTAAAAAATGTATTTAGTTTAGTATTTAGTTTTTTTTACAAAATATGTAGGCAATGATAAAAGATTAGGACGGTAAAGGCGATAGTCATTACAAAACATGTCACTATAAATAAATACAGAAAAAAAAGAGAGTAAAGGCCATTAAACAAAGGATAAATTAATAGATATAACAAAATAAAAAGAGCAATAAAACAACATCACATAAAAGAAAATATAAAAATTGGGTTTCCCAAAGCTGAGGGACCCTGAAGGCAAAAGCATGGTAAAGAAACTTGGAACAGTGAGGATCTAAGGCTGCAAACTGGCTCATAAGGGGTCAGCATTTCTGCTATATGGCTTGGAGGCTGACCTGATCTTAATTCTTAATTCTAAATCAAACAGGGAGCCAAAGGCAGGATTAGGGTTATGTTACGGTGTTTGTTCAAACCAGTAAGAAGTCTAGATGCTACACATTGTGAGCTCATGGTTCTGTCTCTGAAACATGACTGTATTCAGCAAACACTATGGTGGTCAGAATCATATGGGGTGTAACTCTATCACTACACAGAATGCTGACATTGGATAATGTCTCATTTTCAGTGACGCAGTTTTTCATTCAACAATGTTTTTTAAATCATTTATTTTCTACACTATCTGCTCTTGACAAATATGATATGTTGAAGTTAGGGAGAGATCGTGGTTATGGCAAACATTTGTTGTTGGATTCAGATGGGAAACATTATGGTTTCCTGTATGGAAGTTGTACGGAGCCCCTAAACATGGGAAAAAAAAAATTGAAACGTTTCTAGTGCACACTATATACTATCTTGTGAGTACTAGATCCGTATCTAGTGCGCACTAGTTCGTATTAGTGCACACTAGATACTATCTAGTACTATCTAGTGCGCACTAGATACTCATGTGTTGTGGCATCAACACATGGCTCATTTGAATATTAAAATTAGCCATGTGTTGATAGGTCAAATGTAACCAATGAAATTACTTTTTTTGACACACAGTTTTAGCCAATAAGTATTAAACTAACAAGGTAATGTGTCAAAAGGCGGTCCTTTTTAGTTATTTTCTCAAAGAGAGGACAAATGAGTGTCAGGCTGCAGGACAGGGCATTTAAATGCGGACTGTAACAAAGAAGGTTACAGATTAATTTACATTTATTTTTTAGTTACAGACAAATTATTTTAATACTCATTCGAATATTAAAATTAGCCATGTGTTGATTCGCCACAACACGGGATCCTTATCTAGTGAAAGATAGGGATCTATCTAGAAATTCATTTATTTTAATTTTTTCCCCATGTACCTTCAGGGGCTCCATAAAGTTGGACGCCTTACATTCCCATTCACCCTTGCAACCTTTACACCTTTAGGGTACATTCCACTTCGGCACATATAGGGCACTGAACTTTTGCACTAGATGTAGATTGTGTGAGTTAATTATGGGTCAAGCAAAGCTCAGGTATTAACCACAATGGTCTGACCTATGGGGAGAATGACTGACATTGCCTGATGGTGTAACTGCAAAAGGTCAAGGGCAAAGGGTCACCAAAAGTCATTACGATTCATTATGTATAGACGTATGTACAGCTATTTTCGTGGAAATCTGTCCATTAGTTTTTTAGATTCATGGTCATGCCATCATGAGACCTTGAGACTAGCAGAGCTAAAACAGATGTTGTCCATGTGTTAGGCCCCAGTCATTGGCATCATATCACCGGCATAAGTCCCTTCCCCTCTCTCCCCATCCCTAGCATGCGGCTGTCTCTACAGATCTTCAGAGAGATGTACTGCACTTGCTCTGGGATGCAGCTTGACAGTTCTGTCTTCAGCCAATGCTTCCCCTTTGTGAGTTGAATCTGAAGTAGGCTGTGTGGAAACACTGCTACGGTTTCAGATTCAAGCAGCTGTTATGGGTGGGCAGTGTGTCACAACAAATACTACCCCCCCCCCATCTTCTCTATACATTACATGGCTCCTAGGGGACATTTGCGCAGGGCGCTGGCAGTAAACACGCTTCATTACAAGGTCTTTTATTTTCAGGCGGCAAAGACGCATCCAAATCAATTCCTGCTTGCCCTTTGATCTAGTGTGCCAGAGCTTGTATGCTGTACAGGCGCTGTACATTTTACAGAGGCACTGGCGTAAGGCCCTTGAGAAATGAAGATGACTGTGTTACAAAGATGACAGCACAGTGCGCCTGTTGTTGCTGTCGAGTCTCGGTTTGTGTTAACACAGAAAAGCCTTTGCCCACCCTTTTTGTGTAATCTTTCTTAAGAAGATAGAATCAGATTCTACCTTCCCAGAAAATTAAAAGACAGAGGATGATAGAAAGGGGAGAAAAATAAAAGGAAAATGCTTTTTTTATTTTGAAAATCCCAGACAGTGTGAACACCTTACATGCTTTCTTGCTGTTTTTATACAACAGACTGTACCATCTGAAAGACAATTTCAGCCTTTCTTTTGTGTTTTAATTGTACTCATAGGAGATTCAAGACCACTAAACTGGGTTACCTGTCAAAGGAAGTTAGGAATCCCTAAAGTGAATGTACAGTAAGAGACTGAAAAAGATTATTGAAGGAAAGTACACTTTTAACAAAAATGGCTGTAGTTGTGTTAGTGGTGTAGGGTGTTTCTTTTAAAGAGTCAGAGTAAAAGGAGATCTATCAGTGATGAACAGGCCCTCGCACTCGGCGTGCGTCGGGGTGTGCTGAGGCCACCATGCTGGCGTAACACGTGTGGACCACAACATGAAAATAATAATAAAAAGTAAAGCATTGGTTCAAGTTAAAAGAAATTCAATTCAATTCAATTCAATTTTATTTGTATAGCGCCAATTCATAACAGAAGTTATCTCAGGACACTTTTCAAATAGAGCAGGTCTAGACCGAACTCTTTATAACATTATTTACAGAGACCCAACAGTACCACCATGAGCAAGACCTTGGCAACAAGGGCAAGGAAAAACTGCCTGTTAAAAGGCAGAAACCTAGGACAGATCCTTCGGCTCTAGGTGGGTGGTCGTCTGTCTCGACCAAATTAAGTAATCGATCACAGAAAATATTTGACATTGATGATTGAAAATGTATTCAGTTCCACCTGTATTTTAAACTGAGGCTGAATGTTGAGTAAACCACTTATTTCTGAGGTTTGGAGCAAAAAAAAAAAAAAATGCTTTAATACATGTTGATCAATATAAACCACTAAAACCTACAAACTGGTCCCTTAAGAAGTAGTTTGAGTACAGTACTTGAGTAAAAGTACTTACATTCTACAACATTCTGCCACACATTTTAAAGAAATACACGCTTAGTTTTCAGGTATAATTAAACAAATTAGCCTGTTTCTCAAATCAGTGCAGTGTAGTTTTACTTATTTCCAGTTCACTGAAAAGAAAATATTATCTGCAAGCTACTGGGAAATGTAGTTAAACTTGTTGCAAGTTGTTGTAATGTCGCTTTTCTCCAACATTGAAAAAGAGTTTGTATTGTATATAGACCTTTATGGCAGGATAAAGAACCCTTTAGAGCATCATAAGCAATGCTCTCATGATTCCTGATGAAGAGTGTTTGAATTAATCTGTACTAGCATACAGGAATACAAAAACTGTATTTTTTCTTTCACTGAGTGTAAAACATATGATTCCAGGAGGTCAGGATCATAAGTGTGTTCCACAAGAAAAGCCTATCACAATTGAATTTGCAATTGAATCAGATGGCAATTATCCCATCTCATCGGTTAATTGTTGGCTTTGTGAGTTTGCAGTGCAGCTTTATATTTCTTTTAAAAACCACAAAAGGTTCTACTTATCCAATTGCTTTTTTTCTAACAAATTAGACTCTACAATTACCAAAAAGACCCTTGTCTGCAAGTGGAACCCAGAGAAAAATGTAAAATAGAGACAAAAGAACTGGAACAAAGGTTGTTTTTTTTTTATTCAGGTTGACTCCAAAGGTGGAAATGAATCATATCCAGAAGGGTTTCCTGTCTTTCTTTAGTGATATCTCTCGCCGTATCTCAGGCCATCTGACAACACTCCAGCCTCAGGCCAAACCATCGCCAGCACCCGGGGGGTTAATGAGCTGCCCGCCATCGGTGCCAAGACCCCAAAAGCCACATCCATAATCTGCCTGCCAATTCTCATCAGACTCACCTCTCCTGCCACTGCTGCTCCCTCCCCCCTTTAATTTCCACATAACCAACACGCACACATGGCCTGACAGCTCTCTTACCCAGCATGCCGTTGACGAGACAAGCTCAGGCTGTCGCCGTTCATAGGAATTATAGAGCTCAAATGTTCTTGTCACTTCCTCGGCCTTTCCAGGTGAAGGCAGCAGCAATCGAGGTTAACCCTTCATTAGCCAGCACACCTTTTTATTCCACACTGCTGGATTATTTTGTATTTAGCTAATTCCCCCTGCCTCTCCTGAGAAATGTTTTAAGCTATAACTAAAAAGATTATAAGTACAAGAAAGGAGATGGCTGGAAGACTCTTTTTTCATGTTAACATTGTTGTAGCTCTAAAATGCTAATTAGACGGTTGCACAATGTGGTGTGTGAGTGTAATGTACTGTGCATAGGCATCTCACCTGAAAATTTTGCACATTCATTTTGCAACACTTAGATAATATGCACAGGATGTGTGTAGGAGACAACAACTAGAAGAATCCTGCGGTGTGGTAGGATAATTTCAAAACACAAACCAGTGTCTTTCAGTAATTTCTTAAATCTCGAGTCATTCGCTGCATTTATGTGCAGGTTATTGTCAGATTTAGCTGTATATACATGGAACCTGTTTTCTAATGTCCTTTTTACATGGGTGTCTCTGAATGACAGAGATTCAGATAGAAACTGTCTGAATCTGATCTACAAAATATATTGACCAAATACATTTTGGAGGGAATGTAATTGCTGCCTGCATTGTGTCCTCACGAGACCATAGAATACATTTGAGGGGTGGCAATATAATTGACAGGGAAGGAAAGCATTAAAAAAATGTTGTTAAATATTTATTTTTCACAACATTGTTTTGTTTTCCTCTAATCTTTGTTGTTTGTTGTTTGTTTGTTTTTGTTATGTGAATTATTGGATAGTTTTACTTCTTCAGAACCCTTATTTGTATTTAACTAAAGCACTGAAAGTTGAACACATGTATCCATATTTGCTTAGAAAAGCCCCAAAATGAAGGTATTTGAACTCATTGTGGCACATTAGTAAAGCACTGGGGCATTAAAAATCAGTAAATTATTATTTTTTCCATTGAACTCAAGCATAACACACTGCAAAACCTAATGAGTTAGTTAAACTCAAACTATTTAAGGAGATTGATTGCCTTATGTTTATTAAGATGCTTTTATACGACTAACATAACATCTTTACACTTTGGGCGATCATTAAGAATTATTTGGATGCATAATTGGGTTTATGATGATTAAAAAACTGAAATAAATAGAAAAATCCTGCTTACATTTTTGTAATGATATCAAGTCAACTTAAAGAAACTCTACTGAAAACACTCAAAACAAATGAGTTGCTTCAACAATTAATTTTGGAGTTTCAATTCATGTGAATTAACTTTTGAATGAGTGGATTTTTTTTATTTTTATGTTAACTTACTTCTTTTATTAAGATGTGTTGTCAGGTTTTACAGTCTAAAATGTGGGCATGTAAAATTAAATTATTATTCAAATTAAAAAACTTAATCTGGGCAGCATCTGCATTTGTTTTTCTCTAAATGTGTTTGATAGATTTACAAATGAGTAGTAAATAAACATAAATTGTCAAGACAGGATTGTGTACAAGAACAGATTCACTCCCCACACATTCTCATCTCAGGTCGTCAAATACTGACGCTGTTTTGTCGCGCCCTTCTGCACCTCATACAAAAGTGTAACCTTTAGCATCTGTATGAGACCCCTTTTAAAAGGTGATTAGTGTTCTGAAACAGTTGAGGTTAGGCAACGAAGCTACTTGCTACTCATGTTTTTTTTTGGCCTTATTGATAGAGACAGCTGTAGAGAGACAGGAAAGGTGGGTGAAGAGAGAGGGGATGACATGTAACAAAGGGCTACAGGTCGGATTTGAAACCAGGCCGCTGTAGCAACTCCGAATATGGGTCGCCAGCTCTAGCAACTGAGCTAAGCGGGCACCTGCCTTGCTTTTCATGTTTGAGGGTAAAAATTTGTATGTTACGTGACATAAGAACGGGCTGTCACAGCAGTGCAGAATGATGAAAGATCCGGTCATGTAGTAATGGATCCTGAAACTGACTTAGTCTTAATTAGTTGGTTTCCACAGTGAATCATTTACACGTGTAGATAGATTTTTCTGAGAGAGAAAATGTGTGTGTATGTGTGTGTTAATGTGTGCTGAGGATGCATGTATTAACGATGTCTGGGATCATGTCATTATTGCTTGAGAAAAACCTGAATTATATTAATTAAGACAGGGACTGCTACCATGAGAGAACACCAGGATGCAATATGTGGGCATGATTGTTTTTCTGGGTGTGTGGCAGGCTAAGGCCAACTCCAGCCTGTGTGCTCCTGACAGCAGCATAATGAAGGTGTCTGCTGTTCAGTTAGCTGAGTCGGACTCTTTTTATGGGATCTCCAGCCAGGGTCGCACAGACACAGCGAGCAGTCCATTTAACACCAGTCTGGCTCCAGTGGAGAGGGGTTATGGGCCACAGAGTGGTTCAATCAGGGAGGTAGAGGCCATGTTAAAGGAACACTCCAACATTTTGGGAGATAGTTGTTTTCTGTCTTACTCATACGGAGATTTTACCTGTTGTCTATCTGTCTAACTTAGCAAAAGAGAGGAATCAGGGTGAATAGCTTGGTCTCACTCCCAGCTCATCAAATACTGCCTCTCGGTCAGTGGCTCGCCTATTCAAAATGTGATGCTTAGCATAATTTGTCCAGAAATGATGCATAGGGCACCTACAGCCTCATATTTTGAAGTGGAGGGCCACTGAACCAGCAGCAACATTTGACGAATTGGGAGTAAGAACATGCATAAGGATCTATTAATATTGGATCCAATCACTCAAATGGTTATAATAAAAATTTCTGAATGTGTGTGATGCTCAATAAATCTTCTTTACTGTTTTGTATGTATTGGTTGTGTATTAATGTCTTTTGGGTCCAAGCACTTCACCTGACCTGCAATAATGACTGTGGCAACTACACCAGGATTACCAAACAATGCTGTGCTGCTCCCCATTATTTGTGTTCAGCTAGGATAATGTTCTGGACATGTACCCAACTTTATGGAATGTTTCTTCAAAAGAGTTGGATATTCCTTTAATATTCACACGATATAACTAAAGTACAGAAACCCTAACTGAACCCCCTTGGTTCAGGTTAAATTAAGCTGATGGTACATCACTGAAATACAATAAAGAAAGTGTGTTAAATACATGTTTCAGGCCTAAATAAAACTTAATTAGATTTGAATTCACCATGGTGTATAATCTTAGAGGCAGAAATTATACTGGGAACACAGAGGGAGATATAGAGGACAATCTGTGGTGACAAATTGCATATAAATTGTCAGAAAGAATACTGTGTGAAACCTCCTGCTGAGCAATGAACAGTACTTCAAGCACTGAAAAGATCTCCACAGTCGACCGTAAACTTTGTGTTATGCCTCTCAAACCCCAGGCATGTAAAGTATATTGGAAAGGAGAAGGCTTGGAGAAGTGAAGGCTTGCAGATTAGCTTGAAGAACAGTCAAGGACGAGGATTTAAAGAGTAATCCTCGAGCTCGGCTGTTTCCCTTTGAGTTTGTCCCCATCTTTGATGCTCAGGGTTAATTTCTGTGGATTTCTTACAGCTGGTGCTATTTTCTTTATGTCTATACGCTCTCCAACCAAACTATCTGGAAACATGAAATAATCACTCATTTACTTCTGGACACTGGGTGATGGGAACAAATAGAAGAGCTCAGAAGAAAATATATTAACAATAACAATACAGACCATATGAA